GGACTTTTTAGCCTTAGTAATCTAACAAAAAGTCGTAGAATATGTTAAACTGAGAGCGTCCATAAAAAGAACGCCCAAATTTGACTTCGTATGAGGAAGTTATGAATTTTCTAAGATTTGGCTTAGCAGTGCACATCATGAAACTCGAATTTTAGATCGAGCAGTTTTTGGCTTACACAACCTAAATGAGAATTGAAGATCTTATTTATAGGAACTCAATGATAAAAAGACAGACGAAAACATAGTCCGCATGTAGAAGTTATGAATTTTACACGGATATTTAACAGTATAATCTCCTCGTACTGTTAAATTTAAGATCGGTCAAGATTAGCCGACAGAGTCAAAATAAAATTTATAGATCTTATGTTTACCTACGCGTGGATATAAAGAACGTCAAAAATAGAGCTCGTATGTAAAAGTTACAGATATTAGAAGTCGAAAGTGTACTGTGCGAAAATGGGTGACGTGGCACAATCTTGGCCATTGCTTTCACCCCAAGTCTTGCCACCAGATGGTGACATGTGGCACCATGTTCAGCCATATTTCACCCTATAAATATAACCTCTCACACCTTCATTTTTTTCACACCTTTCCCATTCTTTCTTCTCTTTACTCTCTCTTTAGAACCTCTCTCTAGCTCGAAACCCCCCCAAAAGCCTAAGGAACCTCCCTAGCACGAGGTGGAAGCCCTGGAGTGCTTGACAGCTCTGAGAAGAAGAGCTTTTTAGCTCGGGAACACTGCTCCCAGCAAAACCTGGTTTTGTATAAAACCCGCTGTAAGTGAGCTACGCCTACCCTATTTTTAAAATAACTTTTATTTAATTATAGTAACATTATTAGGAACTTATAATAAGTACTTGGGCTATTATTATGGGTTATATAAGTATTGTTTAAAGCTTTTATAATATTAATAATAGCTAGACTATTAATTAGTCTCGACGAATAATAGACTAAACTCTAGTGGTAATAATACTAGGTTTCGTCGAAGGAAATTATTTTTAAGAAGCCAAGCGCTGTCTGAGTTCAGAATCACCACCTTTTCAAGTGAGTCATGGTTCCTTTCATCTTACACATATATATGAAGTATTTTATATAAACTACGTGTTATGTGTGCATATTATCTGTATACTTGCTATCTATGCTGGATGAATGATTTTATACAAGTTTTATATGATTCAAACTGAATATGCATTTATATCTACGTAATATGTTGGGTAAAACATGGATAGATGAAATATGAGTTGGATGATAAGTTGAGAGGTGATATAGACCTTGAGGTAAGGGCGAGAGGTTGACGATGTGAAAAACCTTGTTCCCAAATGCTAGTCCCGTCATCTAGCAGAGTATGGATGATAACCATAGACTATTCTGGACAGTCCAGTAGAACACTAGCAGGTTCGCAACCTGTAGGTGTTGTGAACGATGTGTTCACCGATGTACTCTAAAAACCTATTGATATGTGTTGCGAGTGGACTCTCGCAAACGATACTGTCAATAAACGAGATAATCCTAGCAACTGTGCTCGAAGGACAACACTGACAGCTGCGCCTCATATAGAATGTCACAATTCTGGCTGTTGCGCCTAAGTGATAGAACTAGCAGCTGTGCTTAACAGCTGTGTCATTGATAATGATAGACTTCGTACATATTCCTTATGACAATCCTTAGGAATGAATGAATGAGAAATAGCTGATTCTTAGGGTAGATTCCAAATATACAATAACAAGGGACAATCCTTAGGAGTTCGTATTTACTGCTAATATAATTTTAGATTCCAATATACAATAACAAGGGACAATAGAAATTGGAATTCAAAATCACAATTTGAACCAAAAATAATACACAGACAAATTAATTACATTTTAAAACAATTGCATAAACCATGTGTTGCTAATAATTATAACAGAATGCATACCATAATGTTAAATTCTTTAGATTCTCTTTCAGACATTTCAACAAACACTTGTTACGCATTATCATCAAAAAACCAAAATTCATCTAAAACAATTAATGAAGTTAGAATAATAATGTGGGTGCTAGGTGTGTATCAACAAAGACCATAATCCTTATAAATAGACAAAGAAATCATCAAAAAAATGTTAAAAACCAATATATGTATAACATATGCAATACAATTATGTAATTCTAAACTGCAATGAAAAAAGACGGAGTCTTATATATAGGCATTTCATCGAACATTTAGAGGAAAAAAAAATTATGAACCCAAGTGGGAAACTAAATTTCATTGATATGAGTATTCGTAATCATTGTGAACCCAACTGGGAAAAAAAGTTTCATAACATATTTATTTTAGTATTTGTACAATAGACTTTCAAATATAAACAAAGTCGGCAAACAATAATTGTACAAAATTTTAATAACTTAGTCAATCCTTTTTCCTTACCAATGCCCAATAGTAATTGCCCAAAAGTAATCGACCAAAATAAGTGTTGGTTATACTTTTAAATTAGAATGGCCAAATGACGTTTAATGAGTATTTTGGTCCAAAAGAGATTAATTTTGGTAAATCAATAAGAATTAAAAAAATTACCTACAACTATGGATCGAGTAACAATGTAGTGGTTGATAATGATGTTAGGCAACACTGATTTCCAGCAATACATTATAATCGAATACATCCAAATCTAGCATTTAAAGATAAAGAGAATAAGAAATCACTAATTAGGGTTCATCGAGTATATAGAGTCGGATGTCGCCTCTTTGTTTCGTCGGATGTCGCCTCCTTCAACAATTGTCGTCTTCCTTTCCTTGAACCCTTCTCTAGGTTGTGACGTCATAACCGTCGACAATGGATGTCGGATCAGACCCCCCCTCTCTTTTTCGATCACCAAAGATTTGGAATGGGATAAAATACTTTCCGAATGTGCTTTAAAGTGGGGATAACTAAGTTAGATAAGAAGGACGTCGTGAATAACGAGAACAGGGGAACGAGATGGAAGCTAGAGGAACAAGTCAATGTTATGTAGATGCCAATGAACGAAATGGGTTATTTTTAGGGTTTTAAAATACTGATTTTCTTTCCTTAATTGTATGATTAAATTAAATGACCTCATTAATTGGAAATACAAAAAACTGAAAATACCCTTACTTGATTTAATTAATTATATAATACTTACTAATTTGTGATTGGTACACACATGCACACAATAGTTGCATGGAACATGGAGAACGAGTGTGTATTCTAGCATAATGAGAGTGTATTCTAGTAGAATACACCCTAGTTCTCCATGTTCCATGGAACTTTGTTGTATTTTAAGTGAGTGTGTCCTACAACAAAACACGAACTCTTACATGAAAACCTAGATGCAAATTAATTTTGAAATAATATTATTACTGACATTAATGACGAATTCAATTAGTTTCCATAAACAAAGAGTTATAGTTATGGATATGATTTAATACATACAATTATGGAAATCATTTAATAACTATCTTTATCTGACTAAATAATAATTTAATTTGTATTACATTCCTACTGGTATATTGTAGCACATAATAGATGTAATAATCATATTAACCTAGCCATATAATCATTTTGTGATTAGTCATTATCTTGTCGTGTTGGTACGCTAGAGTGTTAGAGTGTCAAGTGAAATATATGTGGATGATGTTGGATCTTAAGATCTCTATTTTTTTTAGAATCTCAAGGACACCGTGTGCGTATGTGTGTGTGTGTGTGTGTGTGTATATATATATATATATATATATATATATATATATATATATATATATATATATATATATATATATATATATAGTAGGTGCGAGACCCATGTACTATACATGTTTATTAAAAATAAAAAGTTTAATATCAATAGATAAACATTAAACATTTTATAAAATAATTGAAAAAAGAAAATAAATCAATGAGTTTGTAATATTTATGTGAATTTATTCTCAAATTAATAAATTGACAACATTACATGAATAGAATGAGAACATTCTATATATTTAATCGTAAATTTAGGAAATTTAATGTAAGAATTAAAAACCTCAAAAATAACAAGTGGAAAATAAAAAAAATGAAAAAAAAACCAAAAAAAAAGCCGTGTAGAAAATTAAAGGAGAAGAAGACATATGGTGAAAAAACCTTCATTTATTAGAAAGTGTGTATATATATATATATATACACACACACACACACACACACACAAACACACACACAGAGGCAATGTTAGATCTTAAGAGCATCTCCAAACCACTTTCATTTTTTATTTTTCTACCATTGTTCTCCAACGCTCCCCCATTTATTCTCCTATTTTGGTGGATATGAATAGTATTACACCATAGTTATACTATTCATTTATCTCAAAATGGGGATGAATTTTGCATTGTCGGTTTTATTCTTTCTGTTTATATATTTATACATTTTTAGTTTATTTTTACCTACTAATTATAATTTAAATATAGTATGTAATACTTATAATATATATTTTTATATATATTAAATTATATTAATTAATTAGAAATATCAAGTTTGTCTTTTGTTCATCAAATTCGTATAAAAATTTAAATACATATTGAAATTAAAAAAAAAACGATAACGGATTTTACAAAATCTTATAATTAAAAGTGTGTGTGTTTGATATTTATATAAATGTATGTATAATATTTATTTAAAAGTATGTATGTATAATATTTTTTTATAAATACATGTATAATATTGATTTATAAGTTTATTATAAATATAATTTTTTGTGTTTAATATTAATGTAATAAAAAATATAAATTATATATTTGTTAAAACTAAATTAATAGAAATGTGTGTTTGACAATGTATGTAAGTTGTAATAATCGAATATATTAGAAATATATTTTTTAAGGATAAAAATAAGATAAAAAATAGAATAGGATTGAAGATGAAAAATTATTTATTTTATTTTTAATTCATTGTTGAGGAGAATAATAGTGGTTGGTTAGAAATGATCTAAGCTTCCATAAGGGTCATATCACATCACAAATGTTATGAAACATGTTTTGCGGAAACCATTAATTTTGCCTTACATGGCTACATATAATTTGGACAATTACACGCAACAAGAACCTATAATTGAAATTCATGAGATGTACAAAATCATACTACCCTAATCCCCATAGCAAAATATGGGAATATCTGTCAAGTACAACGAATAAACAAAAGAACCAACATAAACCATGCTATCCGCCCCATGATTATCCAGCCAAAAACCCAAGAAAAAAAAACCTAGTCATTGTACACTGATCGATGATCAAACTTTGCTACGCAACAGTGAAGTGGGTGTTTCTTATTACCTAAAAATAGGTAATTAACACGCGAAAAACCGATCCTTGTACATTGTTAGCACATAAGACTACTAAAAAGATTCCTGAATGCTTGAGAAAGTAGCTAACTATATATAGTAGTTAAAATTATCAAACCCTGGCCCCTTAATTCTGTTCTTTTTTAGGCTCGTCTTTCCGGATCTGGAACGGAACAACATCCTGGAGTAGTCCATGATCTCTAAGTAATGAAGAAGAAGGTGAAGGGAAAGCACGTCTTTCTTGAAGGAAATGGGAGTACGATGATGGATGAGCACTGGAATTAGTGGTGCTAAAGCTTAGAGAAGATGAAGTTGATGTTTGGTTATGGAAATAGGGTTGTAGTTGTTGTTGTTGATAGTGAGGCTGTGCAAAAAGAAATGAAGAAACACCCAGACCATCGCCACCACCAAGACCGCCGTAGCCAGCACTTTCCGGCAAGATTCCAATACTTCCTCGAGGCGTCATGGGATAGGGGTGAGTGTGGGTACCTTCATAAGTAGTGATTACAATGGATGGATCATCTGATGATCTTTCCACTCGCTTCTTCACTCCACACGCCACACTTGTACACCGATGGTAACTCCTGTTAAATTGAATGCAATCTTATCAACTTTCTTTTCACTGTATGAATGCATCAGAACACCTCATAAAACGATGTTACTCGATGATGACTTCCTCTCATTGTAAATGGAGGAAAGATGAAGCTCGGTATACACTATATATAGTATATACTAGGGCAAACAATATATATATATATATATATATATATATATATATATATATATATATATATATATATATATATATATATATATATATATACAGAGAGAGAGAGAGAGAGAGAGAGAGAGAGAGAGAGAGAGAGAGAGAGAGAGAGAGAGAGAGAGAGAGAGAGATATGTTGTATACCTAGGAAAAGGGCTGTTTTTCACAGCTTTCTGGCCGTATTTTCTCCATCTGTAACCATCATCCAAGTGATCAATATCACTCTTCGTCATGAATGCAAATCTTGGTTCCCTTTGCTTTTTTGGGTTCTTCTTTTTGGGTTTCAACCTGCAAAACACAATATAACACCCACATATTAATTCAAGCATAAAACATATATAATCCACTACAAAAAGAACCTTTTTTTGTAAGTAAAAACAATACGGATAAAAAAGAATAAAGATTTATCAAATCCAGAAAAACTGATGCATCACATAACAGCTGTTCATCAAATCTAGTTTTAGGTGTGTGTACGTGTGTGAAAAGGCCTACCTTTCCTTGATTAGAAAACAAAGATCTTAAAAAAAACACCGCGTATGTGAGCAACTAACAAATGGTTTACTTTCTTAGGGTCAAAAGCTACTGAATTTATATATACACCAGAAGATTATAATGAAGCATGGGTGTTAAGAAATGGGTTCTCTTGATATTTATTTAGCTATGAAGACTCATTGAAGAACGCATATAGAACCCTTGTGTTTGTGAAAAATACAAAATTAGTCCACACTTCAGTGTGAATTAGGATACGGGTTTCCTTAAAGTTCTTATAAACGAAAGATTAACTATGTAATAAAACACACACACACTCACACACGAAACGCCCGTAAGTTTGTGCAAACTGTAAAGAAAAAGGTTTTCTTGATACTCATTCAGCAATGATCGATGGATTGTTGATGAACACATAAAACCTCACGGGTACGTGAAACCACAATTAGCAGCTCATCTGTATGAATTAGGAGATGGGTTTTCTATAATTTTTTAGTTTCTGAAAAGATTAGTTATCATAAAGCACATACGCGTGTGTTTTTGTAAGTGGAAAAAGGGGTCTTACTGTTTGTTCGTAGTATTCTTTTCTTGATCATCATCTTCTACATCCTCATGTTGTTCTTCCTCATTCTCTTGCGCTGATCTTCTGTTATTCTCCTGATCAACATTATTCGCAGCCTCGTTTGAAGACGACGAGATAGAGGATGAGTTTTGTGTTGACGTGTTAACCATCTCAGGCGTCTCCGTCACAGTGGAAACTGACGGTGGGAGAGACGGTGGTTCAAGTGTTGACGGAGGGTGAATCTGTAGCTTCTCCACTACCAAATTCGGTGGAGTAGGCTGTTGAAGCAAATCGAAGACAGACGCGCCACCGTAGTCCTGAAAAGACATCATATCCAAGTATCCTTGTGGTATTTCAAAAAAGCCACTACCACCACCACCACCACCATAGACAGCCGGAATCTGATCGGAAAATGTTGAGTTTGCCATCAAGTTTGAATTCTCTGCGTTGTTCTTTAGCTCCTCTTTCTTGTCCATAGACTCATCAAAGGTATAGATTCTTCATTTGTAGGCTTTCCGCGGAGAGAGAGAGAGATGTATAGTATGGTTTGTTTTGAGTATAGTGTGAAGAGACCTTTTTGATAGTTCTTGTGTTACAAAAAGTGGAGAGAGAGAGAGAGAGAGAGAGAGAGAGAGAGAGAGAGAGAGAGAGAGATGGCTTCTTATGGAATTTAAAGTGGGGTCATTTACAACTTATTTCCCTAACTCTTAATAAATTACATTTGACCCCTTCTAGTCTTCAATTCAATCACTCAACATATAAAATTATAGATCTGATTCATCCCGTGAAAACAAAATTTTATTCTTGCATAATTTCTTCGATGTATGATTACCTTCTTCTAAAAATGAAATACTTTTTTTGGTTTATAAAAAAAGATACTACACTCTTTTGATAAAGATTCTTTAGATTGAAGTTTAATTTGTTTTTTGATTAAGATTCTTTAGTTTCTTAATTCAATCTTATTAACGAATAAAATTGATATTTGCATGACATATATTTTAATTAGATAATATATATTAATACTATCATCAACGTGTCATACTGTTCATCAATTCGTAATTAAGCATCTTAACATATTGTCCTAAGTTTGAGTCTTAAAATCTTTAAACGTACATATACTAATCTATATATATATATATATATATATATATATATATATATATATATATATATATATATATATATATATATATAATAATAATAATAATAATAATAATAATAATAATAATAATAATAATAATAATATTATATTTTCATATATAGTCATGAATCATGATTGATAAAAATAAATAGGGGTAAAAGGTTCTAAAATGGATATAAAAGAAAATAAGTGTGAAGGGGGGTATCCGGGTTTTGACGGGGTATTTGACGGTGGGATGTAAGCCATTAATTGAAAGACGAATAATTAGTCTGCGTTTTCATACGCGGGGTTGTTGACCGGGAAACGGTTTTTGTGTAAACCAACTTACGATTACACGTGTTTACTAAACATTTTTGGCTCGTGTGACCAAAAACCACCACATTTTTTTCCATTCTACATTTATAGAAAACTCAAAGAATATGCTGAAACACAATTTTTACAAGTAGCTGTCAAGGTCTTCATTTTGATTTTAAAGTCATATGATCATAAGATTCTATATGTTAAAAACAATCTCAATCATATTAGTATCAATTGTGAAGCATGATAACTACTAAGATCTTAGAATCTAGGATGAGAGGATTTTACATGAGTTTTTAGTCTTCTAAACCCCTATGCAATTAATCATTTCTACTAACAAATTGATGTGTAGATTAGAAAATTCATCATTTCAACTCACTAGTACAAAAATGATATACCGACACACCATAAAAGTGTGACCATATACGTGTAGTAATATTTTTATTATTTACTAAAAGTGTGACCGAATGTGATGTCATTGTATGAGTCTTACGGTCACTTTAAAATTTAGTGTTTGTATGATATGAAAAAGATGGTCATATCATAAAATCGTGGCAATTGGTTATGAAATTGTGTTGTTATAATCAATCATTTTATCGAATATTGTGGCATTATATCGTCAGTAGACACGTTTTTTTTATGTAATTGTAGCCTATCACCGAATGACGAACATACATGTTGTTTGAATGTGGTGTTTTTCTAATAAATTGCCATACAATTCGAAGCTTATTAAGATTATTGACTATCTTTTGCAAACATGCAATTACGATGAACATGATCATGTTCACTAAATGGTCGTATGCAATTAATTTCATAAGAGATAATTTGCTAATAATTAGTCACAAAACAATCTTTTATTGTGACTATTATCTATTATATATAGAGAGACAATTAAGTGAAATATTACCATAAGTATTATAAAGACACATATTTTATTATAATTATGGATTTAATATTATATTATAATTATGGATTTAATATTATCATACGATCATATTTATATTACTTATCATGACCACGTTATTTTTTTATATTCTCACACAAAATTATTATCTAAACGTGTGTATATTCCTAATTTAAAAGTACATTTTATTTTAATTAAAATTTGATTTTTGAGAGTCCTCACAGCATGGCGTGGCAAGGCATTTTGGGTCGTGAGTCTCTTTTGACTCGCCACGACAAGGAAAGTATAGGCCATGGTGTGGCTGCTGTTGACGTCTTAAACCCTAGTTTTTTTTTTTTTTTTTTTTTTTTTTTATTTTTTTTTATTTTTAGTTTTGCACCATATTTAAAGGAATTAGGAGGCTAGGGTTTGCTCACCCTTAGCCTCCACTACCCTCTTTAGCTCTGAAAAACCCTATTTCATTTTCCTCCATTTTTGAAGCTTTCTTGAGTGGTTTTGGGAGATTTTGAAGGAAGAAACAAGAAGTAGTAAACCAAGGATCCGCAAGCAAGTCTCATTTCCCTCCCTAGCTCGATTTATGTACCATTGTAAGTTTTAAAGGCTCCACCTTTATGTTACTAGGATGATAATTCTTTAGCTTTGTACCATTTTCTTCTAGATCTTGTTGGTAGGGATGGTGGGATTTCATAAATGTTGCAACTTTATGAATCTCTTGATCATTTTGAGTGAATCGTGGTTTGGATCTGAAGTACGGTTGATTGATTGAGCCATGCATTTGATTTTGCGTATAATCCTTATTTTTGGCCTAATATGAGTCCAAATCATGCATTGGATATGAATGTCTAAAACACCAACATTTAAGTTGGTTTTAGTGTTAGGAGTTCTTCTAGAGTGAATGGGTTAAGGACTTGAGGGATTAACTGCTTATTGGTTGAGCCCATGCTATCATTTTTCATTTTTGGACCTACGAGTTGAGATTTTGACCTCATAGATAGTCTTAAGGGATAAAGTTTGAATCTTCATCCATTTAGATAGCAAAATTGACTAAATCGGAGCTTTGGAACCTTTTTGAATTGGAGGATTCGGCTTAACCCATTAAGATGTTTTAAACCCAATGCCCACGACGTAGTGACTGGGGAAAACAACGTATGTTTTATCGTTTGAGGGCCACGACGTGGCAAGTCAAATTTAACAATTGACTTTTTGGCTTGAGTTAACTTTTGACCAAACCTCTAGCTTTGGAAGGAAAACTAAAGGTGTACCTTGTATAGCTGTATAGGTGGTATATAGTATTTGTACTCTCGACAGTAGGAGCGATAGTAGTTGATTATCATCTGATAGGTGAGTCTACTCACTATACTTATGGGTTGAAGTCACCAATTCCGGTCCATTGGACTGTGTAAGATTAGTTGTACTTGTATGAAAGACTATGGGGGTAGCCAATGATAATTTCATAAAAGACCATGGGGGTAGCCCATGACACTTGGGTGTAGGGTTGTAAACGAGTCGAGTCGAGCCCGAGCCTGGTCAGGCTCAGCTCATGCTCGTTTAAGTTATACAAGGCTCAAGCTCGAGCTGGGCTCGATTGGAGCTTTCTTTTACTAAGCTCGGCTCGGGCTCGTAAAGAATTATACAAGTTCGGATCGGGCTTGGGCTCGGCTCGTTTGTCGTTTGATGTTCCTAAATAAGCTTAAGCTCGTCTCAAGATCGTTAAGAAACTCGTTTACTAATACCCGAAATCCATAATTTCCCAAATATGTTTTTATTTTAATATATGAAAATAATAATAAATTATATTATATAAAGGATCGTTTAGGCTCGCGAGCCTAATCGAACTTAGTGACATAGGCTCGAGCTCGGCTCGGGCTCGTTTAAAACCGGGTTTGAGTAGCTTGGCTCGTTTGCACCCCTACTTGGGTGTTAAACCATTAGGGAAGCCCTTTGCATTTCATGGAAACACCATAACACTTGGTTGTAAGACCCCAAGGGTAGTATATGACATTCCAAGGAAAAGAGCATGGGGTAGCCTATGGCAATTGTGTGTATGGTATTTGGTATATTGGGGAAACTTACTAAGATATGTACTTATGGTTTTGTGATTTATATTTTAGGTACTTACAATTGGGGAAGGGTCCGCCATGATCGTACATCATCCTTGTAATGACCCGACTCTCAAGTATGGACTTTACAACTTTTTTTCATATTTGAAAGGTCTACTCGACAAGTTGGATGTCCTAACTCTTCGAGTAGGAACGTTTTTGGCTACGTGTTTAAGTGACCAAGTCGACGAGTCGGAGGACACGACTCGACGAGTTCGAGCTGAAGGATGAAACCCTAATTTCTAGGGTTTTGCACGCTATTTAAAGGATCCTTTGCCTCCTTAGCCTCCCCTAACATCCCATTGCGAGTCCAAAAACCCTAATTCGTGTATGCTCCATTTTGTGTGATTTTCAAGCTTGGAAGGTGATTTGGAAGAAGAAGACTTGAAGTATAAGAGGATTTGTGCATAGAGGAGTTGGTGGATCTGACTCTTCTGCTTATTGGCATCAGATCAAAGGTAACAAGTCGTTACCTTGACCTTCCCTCTTTCTATATCACTTTATGTTTAAGATTAGGGCTTTTCTAGCATATATATTAGCCATTTTTTGGTATGGGCTAGGATCTGAAATTGCAACTTCAGATATGAGCTTATCTTGGTCTCTATAGCTATAAAGTCTCCAACTTTAGCAAGTATGAACCTTCCCTTTTGAGTTAAACCCCATTATAAGCTTGGATTTGACATTCTAAGCCTTTAGAGCCTTGTATGCACGTAAAGTTTGCAACTTTATGTGAAAAACATGCCTTAGGAAGCTTTATCTGTAATATGGAGCTTTGGAGTTGCTTAAAAAGCATATGAATGGAGAAAGGACTGAAGGGACTCATTGAGTTGCATGGCCAACTCAGCGTATCCGATGAAGATTATCGTGCAAGGATTTCTGCATGGACTTAGCGAGTCAGTAGGATGACTCGGCGAGTCAGCTAGGGTTTTCCTGACATTTGGACATGCATGAACTCAGCGAGTTGTAGGGAAACTCGACGAGTCAACTGGGGATTTCATGACTTCCCAAGTTATGGAAGGACTCGATGATTCGGGTCAACATGGACTGTTGACATTAACCATTGACTTGGACTTTAACCAAGGGTTGACTAGTTGACTTTTGGGGCATTTTGGTATATTAGAAATTTATGGAAATGGTCTTATGGTAAATATAGTTGGTGGAGTTCATGGC